TCCCTCTGCCTGCCACTTCCCCTGCTTGTTGCTCTCTCTCTGACAAATAAATAAAATCTTAAAAAAAAAAAAAGTCTCTTATGGTTTGAAAAAAAAAAAAGAACAAAGTTGGAGGACTGACACTACCTAATTTTAAAACTGTAACCATTCTTACTAAAGCTGCAGTAATCAAGACCGTGTGGTATTGGTATAAAGATAAACATATAGATCAATGGAACAGGATTGAGTGTCCAGAAATAAATGCTTACATTATGGTCAATTGATTTTCAAAAAAGATCCCAAGGCAATTCAGTGGGGAAAGGACAACTTTTTCAAGACACGATACTGGAACAATTATATATGTATATACAAAAAAAAAAAAAAATGAACTTGGATCTGTACCTCTCACCAAATATAGAAATTTACTGTAAATAGACCATAGATCTAAATGTAAAACCGGAAACTAGAAGAAAACATAGGAGAAAATCTTCATGACCTTATCTGTCTTTCATAGATAATAGCCTCAAAAGCATGAGCCATAAAAAAGTATCCTGGGGCGCCTGGGGGCTCAGTTGGTTAAGCGACTGCCTTCGGCTCAGGTCATGATCCTGGAGTCCTGGGATCGAGTCCCGCATCGGGCTCCCTGCTCGGCGGGGAGTCTGCTTCTCCCTCTGACCCTCCCCCATCTCATGTGCTCTCTCTCTCTCATTCTCTCTCTCAGACAGATAAATAAAATCTTAAAAAAAAAAAGTATCCTAAGTTTGATTTTATAAAATTTGAAGGGTGCCTGGGTGGCTCAGTTGTTGAGCGTCTGCCTTTGGCTCAGGTCATGATCTCAGGGTCCTGGGATCGAGCCCTGCATCAGGCTCCCTGCTCTGCGGGAAGCCTGCTTCTCCCTCTCCTGCTCCCCCTGCTTGTGTTCCCTCCCTCGCTGTCTCTCTCTCTGTCAAATAAATAAATAAAATCTTTAAAAAAAATAAAAAATAAAAAAATAAAAAAAATTTGAAGACTTTTGGGGGCACCTGGGTGGCTTAGTCAATTAAGCGACTGACTGACTCTTGATTTCGGCTTAGGTCATGATCTCAGGGTCCTGGGATTGAGTCCCACATTGGGCCTCCTTGCTCAGCATGGAGTCTGCTGGAGATTTTCTCTCTCCCTCTCTCTCTCTCTGCCCCTCCCTCCACTTCCCCCACCCAAATAAATAAATAAATATTTTAAAAAATGAAGACTTTTGCTCTTCAAAAGGCACCATTAAGAAAATGAAAATATAAGCTGTATACCAAGAGAATGTGTTTGCAAATTATCTGAAAGGACTTGTATCCAGAATATAAAGAACTCTTACAACTGATAAAAAGTTAAATAATCCAATTTAAAAATGGATGAAAGATTTGAATAAACATTTCATCAAAAAAAGATACGTTAGTGGATAATGAGCACATGCACTTATGCATATGGTTTCATTTCTTTTCCCTGCCC